AAGGAGACCGACCACAATTCAATGGTGTCTCCGTTGATTTAATAAAGCAAAGAAAAAAGAAATAGTTTCAATTAAAAATAACATAAAAAATCACGAATGGATTTGCATTTAGCCAACTAAAAAAGAGGATTACAATAGTGTGTGTTGGTGTTTTGCTTTAGTTTGTCTTTTTTTGTTTGCCGCCCAGCCGCTGCAATTCTTTTTTTTTTGCAATAGAAGAAAAAAAACAGATATGAGATTAATGAGTATGGGAGAGACAGTTCATTGTCGTCGCTGGCGTTAAGAAGAAGCATCAGCAGCATTACCAGAACACTAAACGAAAAGAAAATGACAAATACGAAAAACTAAAAGAAAGAATGACGAAAATAGCAAACACAAAAGCAATATTAAAATAAAATAGAAAAAAATCTAACAAACGAATGACAAGAAAAGCAAAGCAGAGAAAAAAAAAAGAATTTGGAAAAATTTGTTTTTCATTTTGCTGTTGTGTGTGTGATGATTTTTTTTTGGTTGTTTCGTCTATTTTCAAGTGTTTACCGGAAGAAAAAAAGTAAAGGCGTAAAGCAGCCACCAGCAGCAGGCTGTGTTGTTTGGCTTAGTTGTGCGTTCCTCTGGTGGGAAGAGGCCCAAAATTTTGTGTGTGTACTATTTTGTTTCAATGCAATTAGAGAGGAGGAACAAGAAAAAAATAAAAAATATTAGAATTTTGAAACTAAATACCTCCTATTCGAAAAAATACCTAACAAAATATGAACTTGTATGAATGCCGTTTGTCGCCTTCACCACCCCCACTTTACCTCTTCTTCTAATGGCTTTTCGATCGTATACACAACAAACAACACATTTAGAAAAATAACAAGAAGATATCTGGTTGGTTGGTTGAATGGCTGACTGACTGGCTCGCTGTCGGGTATTGCATGAAGTGCGAGTAATAGAACACAGTTCAAAAATAGCGGGTGGGCCGGCATAGAAAAAAAAATTTAAATGTGTTCTATTTTTAATGTTCTCCTGATGATGATGATGATGATGAAAGAAAACAAGCTATAATTATTATGTGCTTCCCTCATAACCCGTGTTTTGAAATTACGCATAACTAAGGTGTAGTGCCCGAAAGCTTAATGTGGATAACAAATATAGGTTTACAACCGAATGACCATTAGAAAAAATTTCCAATCGATGTGGATACTTATGTCACCAAGAAATGGAAATTATATCGTGTCATATAATCCATTCGATAACAGTTGCTGGCTATTTTATATGCTTTGTTCCCGAACCTAAATGATTACAATTGGGCTGGGCTTAAATGCACTTTATGGACACCATAGGTAGCTTATCTGGTGCTGATCACATAGCCGATTCCCTAAAGGCAAACAAATAAAAACCATATTGGCTTATTTTCAAAATTTTGAAACCCCATATTTCTGGAAGTACGAAGTTCTTCCAAACAAATTAAAGATTTTGTTATCAGTATCAAAATGACTATCTGCAGTAAAATTTTCAGACGTTTTGGTATGGATTTCTTAACGAATTTTTAAAAACAGTGGGGGTATTTTTGGAAATTGGAGCCCCCACATCTCGAGAAGTAATCAGATCAGATGGGCTACCTATGGTAAACAGTTCAAAATGATCTGAGAAGTGTCCGTAAAGTCTTTTTCAAATTTTAAACTCAAGAAAAGTTAAAGGCCCGGTCGCGGATCCTTTTACAATTTTGGCTCAAGTCGAGTTTAGGGGCACATCTCCGATCTTTCTGAATTTTTTACCACAGTTAGATCTCGTATTATCTAAATATCCTCCAATATTACCTTCATCGATCCATAAATAAGGATGTTATGAGCATAAGAATTTCGGTACATATCTCGGGAAGTATGGACTTTCCCCATGAAAGTCATATTTTTTCATTATCAGGGAGACGAGACCTACCTGTGGAAAATCCGAGATGAGACCCTGAACTTGTTCCAAAAATTTTACCATGTCTGATTTTTTCTTCGGAAATCCGTATTTCCGAATATAAGGGCCCCCAAAGCTTTGCTCGTATCCTTGTATTTCCTCAAATTCAGTAAGCCAATATGGATATTAATTTTAAGCGTTTACAGTCTTTGCAAACATGTAATTCCATTATCGAAGAAGTCCATACTTCCTGAGATACGGGTCTCCATTATAATTTTAATTTCAATTTATTTCATAAACGAGAATCTAGCCCAAAGGGCCAAAAGCGATTCAAAAAACAACAAACAATTTTAGAGGTTAAAGACATTGATTAGAGACTAAATGTATTGGGACGCAATATTTATACAGAGGAGATTACAATTCTTATTGAAAGAATATTTTGTCGCGTAGCCGGAGTTGCCATCTACCCATTGGAGAAAGTCTTTAATCCCCGGTCGAAGGCCGACGTAATTAAAAGAAGAAAGTCTCAGGAAATATGGAACTTGAATTTCTGAAATGTGGCAACTTGAATTTGTGTCCCTTTTAGTTGATCTCTATTTATTTGTGAATTTCAAAAATAATGAAGTAATACAAGCGTCCAAGCGGAACTTAAGAGGCCCATTGTAATAAGGGCCTCAAGGAATACCTATGGATCCGCTAGCGGGCCTTGAACTTTACTTGTTCTAAATTTTCTTAAGATTGCCTCCTTCAAAACTTGACCACACGAACCCCATTGAAATAGGGAAATTAAGTCTACTTTGAGGTCCGGATCGCGGAATGTTTCGGTAACCTAGTCTTTAAAATCCATTTCTCGAAAAGTGTGTAACCATAATTAAAAAATACCCTTCATATTAAATTTTGATTTTTTTTTTTCAATGCCACCAGCGTCTCGTTCCTACTTCTCCGCTTTTTCGGAAATAGCAGTGGCTTGGCGAACTACTCCAAAAGTCTGTCTATTTTTGCACCCAATGGCTGGACGGAATCGACTCTCCATCGACCAAAAAAATTACCCTGAATGGTTGTTGTTGTAACCCCACTGCTTTTATACAATTGACTGAGGTGATAGACGTTAGCCGAGTAAGACTCGGAATACCGAATACCACAGCAATCTCCTCACAGCATCTAAAAATGTAGCAGTAAAGTTCTCTTTCTACTCCCGAATTAGCATAATTTCTGTAATTAAATTTGATTCCTCGGAATTCCGGAAAAAATATGAAACAGTGGATTCATGAATCGAAAGAACGTATGGGAAATCTCAATGAAAGTTTTAACCTACAGCTCTGTGATGGTTAAAACATTGCTGCTTATTTTATTAATGCAATTTTGGTATCGGATCAAGATCAGTTTATCAGTCAAGAAACAGCTATAGATAATCATATTAGATTGTTAGACTACTCTTTCCGTCCCCAAATCCACCAACATGATTTCAGGGAAGCACATATTTTAATTCAATATAGTCGATGATTTCATTTGTAAATCTTCATCGAATTTCGTGGTAAAAAAGCCAAGAATTGCAAAAATATATAGGAATTCCCCTATAGCCTTTCTATATCTGATTATGTCCATCATGAGAGGGGCGTTGATTTCCGGATTGTCTGCAAAGTTTCTGCAGTTAGACAGGTCGATGGTCACTGCAACAAAATGAGCAAAGATGTGTATTTTTACAGTCCAATTATTAATGCTTTCATGATCCACAAAACAAAAAATAACGCCAAATGAAGTTTACAACGTTGTGTGAGAGTATAGCATAGTTCTGCCTATTAAAGAACAATCTTTCTTGAGCTTGTGTCCAATTTATTTAATGGTAGCTGTCATGAGCCTTCAAAGCTGTCTTTTATGTATAAATATAGCCACTAGTAGCTGGGTATCTCATTATTTATGTACATTAAATTCCTAAATAAGGGCTTGGAATTTAAAGACACATCATGGTCGGCCACAATAGGACGCCTTTATATGTATAAAAGGAGTAACCACATCCCTATCTGGCGGTCAAATTGTATCCTTTTTATATTATTGTATCCTTTTATATTTTGGATTCATTTGTTCCTAATTATTGTCATACTAGAAATGACAATTTACGCGTTCGTATCATAATTGTGACCTGTATTTATTCCGTAATTGCAACATTAGTGTAGTGGGAAAACGATTTGATAATACATCTAAATAGATCGGAAAAAAATAGGATTTATGCCGTCCAACTCCACACACTGCACCGAATTATTATTACGTCGTTGTTTTTGGTTTTCCGTTTTTATGTTTTAAGGTTGTCTATACAATTGTTATTATTGTAAAGCAAACCAAACACAAACAAAATTTTTTTAGAAATTCAATTTATTTTCAAAATATTTATAATTTTTAAATAATACTATTTTCTATTTATAGTTGCATTACATCTAAACTCTACTACACCACCTGCAGCGAAAAAATCCGTCAAACCAAAAGGATAACAGTTCAAAAAATACAAGAAATAACAGAATCTGATCAAAGTTAAAAAAAAAAAAATCAGCAAACAAAACAACATTATTTTCTACGATAGAAGACAACTACAACAAAAAAGCCGGCAACACACCGAACACAGATACAAGACTGAAACAATCTTAACAACAAACAAATCAAATTCTTCAATTCCCATTACACCAAAAAACAAACAAAACAAAAAAGAAAAAAAAATAATTCTACTCAAAGAATTACGCTTCGATAAGAATTTTTAGCACCATTAATTTTTTTGCTTATTTGGGGGAAGAACCGCAAACAAATTCAAATAACGTTGCAACACTACACTGTCGTCATCATATAGTTGTCGTCGCTGTGTTTTTTCTATTATTGCTCTCTGAAGAAGTTCATAATTATCAACCTTTTCTACCTCTTTCCGCAACCAACTCCTACAACTGCTTGTCAGACGTAAAAAAACAACAAAAAATCCAGTATTCCGTAATAGATCATCATCAATTAAAACATCGTCAGCAACAGCGGCAGAACAAATATATCATCAAACATCAAATCATTCTGAATATCGTTTTATATATTCCACCCGCTTATTGTTTGTTTGTGTGTTCGTTCTCTCTTTGTGAACATCAACTACTGTCATCATCATTGCCAACAGCGTCAGCGGCGACATCACCATGGATGATTTAGTAGTAGAAGTTCGGCTCGATAATGGTGCCTATTATAAGGTAAGTTGTTGCTATTGATTAAAGTTAAACTATACTAGTAAATTATGTAGAAAACTAATTATTGGAATTTTTTTTTTTTTTTTTTGAAATATTTGAATTGAATTATATTTTTTTACTATTTGTTCTTGTTATCGTCGTTCGGCTCTTGTGTTTTTTGGGTGTTGTTTGTTTATGTGTGGCTAGTTTTATGGCTTAGCCTAACTAGCTGCTTATGTCTGACGTAGATATTCTCTCTATTTTTATTATCGAAACAGTGGCGTGGGTTTTTACATGTTGGGGGGGGGGGGGAATCTAAATTCATGTGTCGGAAAAAATATGATTGAATTTGTAGTCGCTAAACAAATGTATAAAAATACAGGCCTTTTGATAGTCATTGAAAAAATATTTTTTATAAAAATTCCGTCATTTATATTATCATTCAAGATTTCCAGGCGCGTCGGTCTTTTCCAACGTATTCTTGGCCTTCCCCTTCTGCGTGAACCATCAGCTGGTTCGCTTTTATATGCCTTTTGGGTTGAGGCACCATCATTCATTCTCACAACATGACCTAGCCAACGTAGTAGCTGCAACTCAATACGTCTAACAATGTCTATGTCCGAGAATAGCTGGTACCACTCATAGTTAATTCGACGGCGATATTCACCGTCAACGCAGATCGACCCATAGATATTTCGGGGAATTTTACTCTCAAACACTCCAAGAGCTGCCTCATCTGCTTGCAAGTACCCATGCTTCAGATCCATATAATAGCACGGGTAGTATCAGCGTTTTGTGAAGTGAGAGTTTGGTCTGGCGGGAGGTGGCCTTGCTTTGGAGTTGTTTGCTCAGATCATAGTAGCATCTGTTGGCCATCACTATCCTTCTCCGAATTCCAAAACTGAAGTCATTCGTTTTGTCTATGGCGGTACATAAAATCTTTGACTACCTCGAAGCGAAGAATGACTGTTGGTGACTTGAAAAAAGTCTTCTTTAAAAAAAAATCCACGCCTTGTTGATGACATGAAAAAAGTCTTCTTTAAAAAAAATCCACGCCTTGTTGAAGACTTGAAAAAAGTCTTCTTTAAAAAAAAATCCACGCCTTGTTGATGACTTGAAAAAAAGTCTTCTTTAAAAAAAAATCCACGCCTTGTTGAAGACTTGAAAAAAGTCTTCTTTAAAAAAATCCACGCCTTGTTGATGACATGAAAAAAGTCTTCTTTAAAAAAAATCCACGCCTTGTTGATGACTTGAAAAAAGTCTTCTTTAAAAAAAATCCACGCCTTGTTGATGACGTGAAAAAAGTCTTTAAAAAAATCCACGCCTTGTTGATGACTTGAAAAAAGCCTTCTTTAAAAAATCCACGTCTTGTAGATGACTTGAAAAAAGTCTTCTTTAAAAAATCCACGCCTTGTAGATGACTTGAAAAAAGTCTTCTTTAAAAAATCCACGCCTTGTTGATGACTTGAAAAAGTCTACTTTAAAAAATTCACGCCTTGTTGATGACTTGAAAAAAGTCTTCTTTAAAAAATCCACGCCTTGTTGATGACTTGAAAAAATATTCTTATGGTCCTTGAAAAAATCTTCCCCATCATCCCAATATATGCATATCACTAGTTCGACACTACACCTCTGCAGCTTTGGGTTTATGTCATCATCATTAAACTGCCGACATCGTTCTCAACGTTGTTGACTTCGCCGCAATTTAGAACACTTGGTGGTCCTCCTCCTCTGCTCTGCTCCATGTCATATTAGCTCTGGTGAACTTTTCGTATTTTGTTTGCAACATTTCGTTTGTTTCCTTTCAGCTTGTTTTTATTTCATGTTCTGTTTTTGTAAAAAATTCTTTTTTATTTACCACTTTTTGTTGCAAATTCTCTTTTAGAGTGTTTTTATGTCTTCTTCTACGTTTGTTTTTTGCATTCTGTATTTTTATTGAAAACATTTTTTTTCAAGCCATTTGTGGTTTTTGTTGTACGGCATTGTTTACATGTTGTATTGTTGTCTTATTTGGGGCTGGATGGGACGGGTTGGTTGGCTGACTGAGTTTCCTGACTGATGATGCTATCGTCGCCACCGCTTCTGCTGTCGGTGTTTTTTTTTACTTCTGTGTCGGTTGGTCTAGCTGGCGCGCGCATTCTTTCTCTATGAGGAGGGCTTGTTGGCATTGGCGCTGCCACTGCTGCTTCTGTTGCCACCGACGATAACGACGGTGATGATGATGTTGATGCCTTTTTAGATGAAAACTAATTTACATTTTTTCGTAGCTTTATTTTTTTGTTTTTATATGGGCTTTGGCTTCACTTTGCCTGCTGCTGAATGTTTTGTTTATTTTTTTTTTTCGTGAACATTTTTTCGTCGGTATATCTCCATTGTTGTGTGCTTTTTTTGCATTGATTTTCCCTTTCAATTTGAAAACCAACGAATGATAAATAGACAGGCTAAATAATAATATGTAATAATTAAAACAAAAATGAAGGTGTGAAAAGGAGGTGTGGTGTGGGTACTAGGAATGGGGAGAATGCTATTTAAGACTTTGAACATGGTGGATAGTTCGTATACGACAACACACAATGGGTGATATTAATATTTGTAATTTGAATGTTCTAACACCCAAAAAAAAAAAAACAAAAAAATATTTGAAAGACTAATTTCTGCAAAACTGATTGATTTGTTATTACCCAAGAGAGGAGTTTCCTGTTGAAGGCCTAAGAATATGTTAATAACCAAGAGAGGCGTGGATTTTTTAAAATATCTTTTGAAGAGCTGCATTAGGCGTGGATTTATTTTTTTTTTTGAAGTCCAAAAGAAGCGTGGATTTATTTAAATCTTTTTTGAAGATCCACATTAGGCGTGGATTTATTTAAAAATTTTTTGAAAATCTACATTAGGCTTTGATTTACTTGAACATATTTTTTGAAGTCCAAAAGAAGCATGGATTTATTTTAAAATATTTTTAGAAGTCCAAAAGATGCGTAGATTTATTTAAAAATATTTTTTGGAGTCCAAAAGAAGCATGGATTTATTTTAAAATATTTTTAGAAGTCCAAAAGATGCGTAGATTTATTTAAAAATATTTTTTGGAGTCCAAAAGAAGGGTGGATTTGCTTGATCGTCGTACCTTTTGGCAAAAAACCCCTTTTATACCTTTCTAGGCCCTCTTTGAATATTAAATTTTCAGGCATGGTACCCAGCAGCGGGGATACCAATGTTTTTTTGAAATTGTTACGCTTTGTCTTCGGTGGTTCACATAAACCATCCCCGACACAGGAACGGGACATTCCACCATATAGAGGTCAGCATCTTTTTGTTTCATATCTAACGACCCCTTCCGATTTGGAGTTGGGACTCTAATGACAATATTGTCAACATTGCCATTCTCTTCCGTAGTGGGGGTGTCGTTCCATATGTCTCCCGGAATGTGTTCTTGTCTCAAGTAAAAAATTCCGCATTCCTCAATAAGGTTAAGGAATGCGGGGTTCACTCGGTCTGTTGATATGATTTAGGGAGAACCATAGTTAAAGTCCTTTGTGCACTGTATGAAAAGTCTAAGTTCAGATTTTTAATGGAGATTTGCTCTGGTAACATTTGAAGCTGAAGGGGCCATGTCAACATTTTTTAGTCGAAGACTTTTTTTCCTTTTTCGATACCCTGACTACAAAGCGTTGACAACTAATAGGCACACTTTTGCGTAACACCCCAGCGTTAGGGGGTCATCCTTCAGGGGAGGAGACCCGAAACCCGTTTTTGGTTAAGCCCAAGGATCATTGGCACTCGTTCCAATCAGAAGCACAATGCCAATAATTGCCCTACAAACTGCAGCAAAAGCAACACTTAGATACCAAAAACCACCATGAAGAAACCCATGATACAATCAGGGGTGTCGTAATGCTACTGATGTGAAAAACGCAACGTATAGGGCAACTCTGCAGACAGTAGAAACACGCAATGCAAGATAGAATTATCGGGGGAATAGGAGAGAGGAGAAATATTTTTTCAGAAAAAAGAAGAAAGAACAAGAAAAACGTTAGCGTGAGCAAATCGAGATGTACAGGAAATTTTACCAATGAATAAAAAACCAAACCGAAGGCGTTGACGCAGGCACAATCCCCTGTAGTAATGATGATGGAAACCTGGTGACAGATACAGACAAGACCGGTAGTCAGATGTTGGTCAGGAGCATGCACCAGCTCATTTGTACAATTTGGCTAGAGGAATGCATGTCCAATGATTGGAACCTGTGCCGTGTACAAAAAATCAGACAAGACGATATGTGCCAACTATAGAAGAATACGTTTCCTCCCCACCGCATATAAAGTGCTATCCAGTGTGCTGTGTGAACAACGGAAGCCAATGGTCAATGACATTATTGGACCATACCAATGCGGCTTCAGACCAGATTGACCACCAATGACCAGATTTCCACTCTGCGCCAGATCCTGGAAAACCCCACGAAAAACACATCGACACATTCCACCGTCGACTAAAAAGCCGCATTCGGCAGCCCTATCCGTCCAGAGGTGTTTAAAGCCATGCCCGCGTTTGGCATTCCTTCAAAATTAATACGGCTATGCAGGATAACTTTAACTGACACAATGTCAGCAGGAAAGGACATTTCGGAGCCCTCCAATGTCGAACGAGGATTCAGACAAGGTGATAGTTTGTCGTGTGACCTTTTTAACATCCTGCTGGAAGTGTTCATACGAGATGGAAATGTGAACAGAAATTGCACTCTGTACACCAAACAACATATGTTACTCGCCTACGCCAATGACATCGACATCATGAGTCGAACATTGCGAGCGGTAACAGCCACCTTTGAACGAATTAAGAAGGAGTCTGCCAAAGTGGGTCTGGCAGTAAATGGCGCAAAGACCAAGCTGATGGTATTAACGCGCAGGACTCGGACCAACTGTGGAACTTGAAATCTACAGCATCGAGGTAATGAACGACTTTATATTCCTCGGTACCGCCATAAACAAAACTAATAACATCAGCTTTGCAATCCGGAGGAGAATAGTGTTGACCAACAGATGCTACCATGGTCCGGGTAAGCAACTCAAAAGCAAGGCCACCTCTCGCCAGACCAAACTCACACTCTACAAGACGCTGATATTACCCGTGCTGTTGTATGGATCTGCGCAATCAGATGTGGCAGCTCTTTGAGTGTTTGAAAGAAAAATTCTGCGTCGAAGGTGAATATCGCCGTCGAATGAACCTTGAGCTATACGTTTTTTTATCGGACATCGACATAGTCAGACGGATCGAGCTGCAACTACGTTGGCTAGAGCATCTTGTGCGAATGGACGAAGATGCCCAGCTCAAAAGGCATATAAAAGCGAGCCAAGTAATGGTTCACATAGAAGGAGAAGGCCACGAATCCGATGGAAAAATCAAGAAGAAGACAACATCTCGGTAGATTGTCTTTCAAATTGAATGAAATGCGCACAAGACCGACGCGCCTGGAAATCTGTTTTTAAGCTTGGCTTATGGAACAACCGTTCTGTCATAAGCCAGCTAAGTAAAGGTTACCTCAACATGTTCTATAAAATCACCATTATTTCAAAAGATAGCGAACGAAGCTTTGTTTCGGTCTATGTACCTCGACATGTTGTATTACTTACCATGGTATGGATGATATGCCATAGTCGACATCAACCCGTCTTTGACATTCCTCAATGCTAGCAAAAACTGATCACACAAGAATAACTTTCATCCTTTCCGACATCTGGGATAATTCCGCGTTGACGGATTAGGAAGAAGCTATAGGTCTTCACAGACGGACAGCGGTTCTGTTTACAGTTTTTAACTTTAAAGTCTGTCAGGTCGAACAGTGATTACTGTAGACAAGAAAACGCACGAAAATAATACCCCACGACAAAGGCATCCGATATAAAGAAGTATATATAAATATATCCAATTGAGTACAATCAATGACACAAAACACTTAATTTTGTGAGGAATCCCCCATATCAAGGGTATTTCAGATTGATAAAATTATTACACGAGCGAAGCTTATCAATCCTTCATTCAAGACGACATGAATATGGAAACGGGAATATAGCAACCAAAAACACAAATGTCGACATTTTTACTCACGATTAAAAATGTCCTCCGGCCATTCTATCAGAAGAAATTTTATTGTATTAGAAGGATTTTTGGTTCCAATAAGAAGACGTAATTATCTTATCATTTTCATCTAATTTAGAACTGCTAAAAAAATATATAAATTTGTTATTGCAAAATACTTTATAAAAACAAATATTTATTAGTGGTAGTTATGAATATAGTTTCGGATCTCGCCAATGATCCTCATCTGGACCCTTAGTATTTTTTGTTAGGTGTATTCCTCCCAAAATCTATATTTTTCGTTTTATATTTAAAATTTATTTCTTTTTATAATTTGTCTCATATTTCAAAAACATATTTCCAAAAATAGTTTTCTTCATATACATACCCATATCACTTTATATGCGTATGTACATATATCGCAAATTAAAAATATATTTATTTTGTTTTTCTCTTTCAGGGTATGGTAAAAAGTGTACATGATGATGGTGTATGTTGCAAGGTTGATGGGTAAGTAGTATTTCTATATGTTATTACATTACCAAACAAATTACCTCGGTGTATGTTGATCGTACATATTTTGTCCTAAAAAATCCTACAACAACAACCGAATAGAAAATATATCAATTGTAGCAAATATTGGCAAAGAAATGTAAATTGCAGCAGCATAGAAAAAAAACAACAACTAAACCGTCACATGAAATGCTCGATTTACACTTTCATATATCTCATAAAATACCCATTACTGTTTGCTTGTTAGACAGGCACTACATGTGAATATGCGTGTATACATGATGCTTTCTTCATAAATTATTTTTGGGTATTTGGTAGAAATAATATAGAGAAAGTGCTAAGAACAATTTTAATGACAAGATTAATCGTTTTATTGTTGAATATTTGATTTGAACACGTGCTCTTATAACTCTATTTCAATGATCACACATTTCAAATTGGTTAATTATGGCCTATGCAGATTTATTATTTTATAGAATTCAATTTAAAATATTGATGTAGATATATATTTAGAGCTGGTTTGCGGTAAAATAAGCGACGCATGTGTGACCCACTTTTCCAGAATTTCGCTTTATCTATTGCGACAGAATGTCATCTTATCATGATCCGAATAGATCACTTATAAATATGGAGGAGTCAAATCCTCGTATCTTCAAAGTTTGACAGTGATATCGATATTATATTCATCGTTCCAAAAATGACAATGCTATAAGTATATACATTTTCGAGACTTTGAAGGCCCACATGTCAAGAGGTATGTCCTTTGCCATAAAAATTATAAATATTCTTGCTCAGGGGGCAAGAGCTAAAAAGATTTATAGGCGCGTCGGACTTGTGCGCAGCTCATCCAATTTGAAAGACCATGTTTTAAGATGTTGTTTTCGACTTTATCTTACCATCGGATTCGTGGCCTTCCCCTTCTGCGTGAAACATCAGCTGGTTCGCTTTTATATGCCTTTTGGGCTGGGGCTTCCTTATCTATTCTGACAACATGACCTGTCTGAATATGTCGATGTCCAAGAATAGATGGTACAGCTCATGGTTCATTCGACGGCGATATTCACGGTCCATAGATCATCCGGAGAATTTATCTCTCAAACACTCCAAGAGCTGTCTAATTTGCTTGCGCAAGTACCAATGCTTCTGTTCCATACAAAAGCACGAATAGTATCAGCGTCTTGTAGAGTTTGAGTTTGGTATGGCGAGAGGAAGCCTTGCACTAGAATTGCTTACTCAGAGCATAGTAGCATCTCTCTTGGCCAACACTAATCTGCTGATGTTATTAGTTTAGTTTATGAAGTACCGAGGTATATAAAACATCCGAGTCCGAATCTACACCTTGATCTTCTCGCCAAGCACTGTCAGACCCACTTTGGCAGACTCACACATCGGCTTCTGCCTGCACCAAAACCTTCGGTTTGGTGTTTTGCTCGTTGGTAAAATTTCCGGACTTCATTCTGACTCTTGTACATCTCGATTTGCTCACGCTCACGTTTTTCTTTTTCTTACTTCTTTTGCCCTATACGCTGCATTTTTCACACCAGTAGCATTACGACACTTCTGATCGTAACATGTGTTTCTTGGTGGTGGTTTTTGGTACCCAAGTTTTGCTTTTCGTGCAGCTTGTAGGGAGTGTGCAATTCTTTGCCATTGTGCTTCTATACTATAATCGGGACAAGGAGTGTTTTCGTCATGAAAGTGGGTTAGTTGTGCGGAGTAGGCCTCTGCTACCTGTTGTGTTTGCAGCTTTTCGACGTCGAGTTTCCGTGTTGCATTAGATAGCACCTTTGCTGCTACATTAAGACGGGTCCGAACCTTGGCTGCCACAAGGTAATGGTCCGAATCGATATTCGCTCCTCGTATCGATCGAAAGTCTTAAAATACTAAACGAAGGCCGTCCGTCTATCACAACATGGTCAATTTGATTTCACGTTGCTTGATCAGGAGAAATCCAGGTGGCTTTGTGTATATCAACATGCTTGAATCTGGTGTTGCTAACTACCAAGCTTTTTTGCTGCCACGAAGTCAATCCACCTCATGCCGTTGTCGGATGTTTGTTCGTGGAGGCTGAACTTTCCGACGGTGGTCATCTCCTAGCGGCAGCGGTCATATGCTGTTTCTAGGCGCTCATAAAATATGTCTTTGGTATGCTCTTCTTTGTCTTCGGTCGGTGCATGGGCACAAATAAGACTGATGTAGAATAACTTCGCTTTTATGCGGATTATAGCAATTCGCTCATAAATCCACAACCAAATTCATGTCTCGTTTCATGGCAGCTATAATACAGTGCGTAATCGTCTGATTTACTTACGCCTGTCCCTTTCCATGGCATTTCCTGTAAGGCAATAATATCGGCTGTGTACTTCTTGAGTACATCCGCCAAAGCGAAAACTGCGCCTGTTCTGTAGATTCGCAGATCGTGATCCTTTATACGTTTGCGGGGGTCGTTTGGTTTTTTTTTTCTTTGCTGTTTCATAGTAGGAGGGGTTTTTCGAGTGTGGGCAACTAACGCCTCAACCCATTTTTTATAGTTGTTATGGGTGAACACGCGGCACATATTAGCTCATCATTTCAACGGGTGATGAAAATAGCTACCCCAGGTGACCCCGCGGGGAGGTCAGTGTTCACAATTGAGATGAAAGAGGGACCAAAATAAGCCTGGACTTCGACATGTTAAAGCCAATCAGAGGCGTTGCCTCAGAAAAATTTTTTTGAAAAAAACTACGCCTCGGGTAGTAGACCTCAGAAAAATTTAGTAGAGGAGATAGAGTACCCCTTCCAATGGCTTACCTCTGCCGACAGATTTCTTCAAGACGAATTGAAAATTCTGCTTTCCAGCATTCTATCAATCCAGACCGTTAAGGCATAGAGGATTCCAATGCCTTCGGGACTTTCATAGGCGCTTTCAAAGATCTATGTTTCTCAGCTGTCTCCATTGCTAGGGGTTACAACTTTAAAATTTGTCACTTCCTTATAATCGGATAAACTCCCTTATCCTCCGAGAATGGTGCCTCGTCAATAAATCGTCGATCTCCGATTTTTCTGCTCATTAGTCTTATGCATTTGGCAACCAATCTTTTGTAAACAGCGGTCAGTCAGCGGTAGAAAGATGTAGATACATGATTACCGTAGTTTTTTTATTCTTCACCGAAGTGTAATAGCTTCCCTTTCTATGACCCACTTTTCATTTTGACTTGTCCTCCACAAAAGGTCCCGCACTAAATGATGTGATGTGAAATTTCGGATTTTTAATAAATAAAAAGACTCTTTGCAGGAATCATTCAATGCATTTAGCTTTCACCCTTTCCCATAAACAAATCCTCCTCCTTCATTGGTAGCAAATCTCGTATTTAGTTTGAAAACATTATACGAGAAACAACACAACCATTAATCCTAAAAATATAGCATTGTATGCCATTTTTGCATTTCTTTTTTTTCTGTATTAAAATGAGTATAAATTCTGATTTCCGCATATTCGTCTTGAATCGGCGTTTTTGGGTACATGAGAATGTTTGTTGCTGCTGTTGTTGCCGTTTTGTGCTTCATGCCTCATAAGTTGTTGCTCTGTGTTTGTTTGTGTGTGATAATGCATTTATTTTCGCCGCTATTAAAATGTTGTTGATATGTCGAGCAACAACCAAACACACAAAATATATTTTATTTGGCCCTAAGCCAATTACGGCCTCCTTAGACATATACACATAGGACTACTACTAGTAGTAAGATGCTCTTGCTTCTGGCTTGCGTATCGAAATGAAAATTATATTTGAAAATAGTAAGGAACACACACATTTATATGTTTGAATGGTTGGTTGGTGGCGAATTCCTGACCGACCTACCGACTGAATAAGAACGCGACAACAGCATTATGACGCCAATGTGTGTGACATGGCAGGCGCAAGCACGCTTCTTTCATGTTGTTTGTCGGTTGGCTGCTTGGTGGCCATTGGCACACAACGCGAGAAAGTGTCCTAACACCTGTCCTCAAGATTTATGTTGTTCACATTAATATTTCGATCATGTTAATGTTCAAATAATATGCGACAGCTACATAAATTGTTCAAATTAATTGAATTGAATTTGCAAATGAAATGAGTTTTAATTGAGATTTATTTTTTATTTTAAATTTTTCTAATGAAAATGCTCATTTTTGTTTAAAATTTTTTGCAGAGTTCCAGAAATCAAAAAATACCCATTTAATAATGTACGCTTTCCACCAAACGAACCATCGGAACCTCCCGCCTATGAACCGGGCCAAGAGGTGGAGGTTCTAACGCGCCCCACAAACAGCGAAGCCTGCGGTTGGTGGCTGGGCGTTTTGAAAATGCTAAATGTCGACATTTGTGCTGTTGTATATCCCGGCTTAGAGCATCCCTATACCGAGGTAGTGGATTTAGAAAGACTGCGTCCAAAGAATCTCAATCCGCCAATAACAGCCAAAACGTTTTATCAGTTCACAATACCGGTACCCGAAGAGTTGCGTGCGGAGTAAGTTATTGAAAATAAATTAAAACTAATAACCTTTATTAATGAATTATTTTCTTGTAGAGCACAAAAAGAAGACATTCATAAGGAATTTCAACGCACTATATGCGCTGGCGTTTGCGTTTATAATCCCGATCTGAATGCATTAGTTGTGATTTCGAAATGGGATATGACTGAGAAACGCGCCAATTTGCTTAAAGATATGCATTTTCGTAATTTACTACAAAAGGTAAGAGAGCAAGTCATTTTTTTTTAATTTCATATAAAAATTAGAAAAGAAACAGGTTACGTTGGTAACGCCCCCCTTATTCGGGAGAAAACAGAGAACCAATGCTCGAAATTCGCAGGTTAGTCGGCGAGCACAAGCGGAAAAAGGTAGCTAGAACATCTGACGTGTTGTAACATTAGTACTGTTAAATTGTGGTTAAGGGTTAAGTCGCTCTTTAATCCTGGAAGGAAGGATGATCTCATCTCATACATCTGTCTCATGGATGAGATGGCAGATCCGAACAGATGCGCGAATTATTTTAATCGGCAGTTTGTAGAGCACAGAAAAGTATTGTGTCGTATACGATCTCTTCAAGTGGAGTAGGAACCACGATACTTGTTGTTGGGCGATGTTGCAAGTGCCATCAGAAGCACAAAATCATGCAAGGCTCTTAGTCCGGATGGATGGGTCCAAAATTCCGACCACTAAATACCCAACGGTTCCAGGGGTCACATTTGATAGACTTTACATATCGTCCGCGCATGTCATAGCTATTTGCAATAAAGTCAGGATCAGGAACAATGTTCTCAAGCTGATACATGGGGGAGCCGACAAAGAAACTTGCCAAAATACCGCCTTAGGACTGCATCAGGGTGTCTGCTCTACAACAATTGACCACATACATGATGAGACGAGGATCCTTGTTGTCCGCCAACACAACAACATGTTGTACATGCAACATCTACTTTGGGTGTAATTGAAGTAGCCATCCAAATCATCATCTTACCGATAGGCACCCACCACTGTTACCACAGTTACAGTTAAAGATGAGTGATGCTGCAAATGTTAGCTGAAGCGTTGGATGAGCCAGGAATCGAGTAGGGAGCTAGACAGTGATCCTTATCAATTTTGTAAAGAAGCTATAATTAGGTGCTAGGGAGAATATCCCAACAAAAAACTTAGGCAACTGATGATCAGTGGCGAGATCCGAAAGTATAGTTTTTCCTGCCTTACCCCTTGACGGACAATGCCATACTTCCCACTAATAAATATTTGTTTTTATAAAAACAACAAACTGGAATTAAGACTGAATATTTTGCAATAACAAACAAGTAAGGAAAGTAGTAAAGTCGGACTGGGCCGACTATATGATACCCTTCACCACTTTGGGTATATTCTACATGTCTCTCCTAACAGACTCCGCCTTTTCGATAGAACTTTATGCACCATTTACATAAAATCGGACAAAACTATATATATGAGCTATATCTAAATCTGAACCGATTTTCACGAAACTAAACACGCATCGTTCTAGGCTCAATTCAGTACGCTATGCCAACTTTCTGGACTTTGATGCACCATTTACATAAAATCGGACGAAACTATATATGGGAACTATATCTAAATCTGAGCCGATTTTCTGAAAACTTAACACACATCATTCTAGACTTATTTCAGTACGCTATGCCAAATTTCGTACAAATCGAAAGATATATAGGGACTTTAGTGCACTATTTACATATATGGGAGCTATATCTAAATCTGTTGGGATACCAACAGTGGTACAGTGTATTATGTCTTTGTGCATATCCTTGTGCACGACTAAATATTTAATATTCCAAAAAAATCTCTTAATTATAATTAATTATTGATCCCTTTAAAAATATTTTCAAATATAATGTCATAACCTTTAAATCTAATATAACTCTTATTTTATCTTCCCATATTTTTAGTATATGATTTTAAAACATACTGAAGAGGCTACTCGCCAATTGAAATCAACTAAACTACTTAACCGTGGGTGAGTGTGTGTGTCTGTGTATACTAAATGTCCGTGCATTTTTTTCATTACTCATCAAACTCATTTTCATCCAAAAAATATTTACAATAATTACATATTTAAATACCCATTCCTTCTGCCTCTCTTAGGCACGTTGATGTCTTTCAGGTGCGTGAGGATTTAATGGGTCTAGCCATCGGTTCACATGGTTCGAATATTCAAGCCGCCCGCCTTCTGGAAGGTGTCACCAACATTGAGCTTGAAGAGAAATCGTGTACATTTAAAATTACTGGCGAATCCGAAGAAGCTGTACAGCGAGCCCGAGCCATGCTTGAATATGCCGAGGAATTATTTCATGTACCGCGCGACTTGGTTGGTAAGGTTATTGGCAAGAATGGTCGCATAATACAAGAGATTGTCGACAAAAGTGGAGTGTTTCGAATTAAGGTGGTAATTAATCATTTCAATTGCAGCGGGATCGATTTTAAAAATATTCATTTTTCTATTCTCTTCTATATATTCCAAAAACGAAAAAACTCATCTGTCAACTATAAACAAACATATATAGATTGCTGGTGACGATGAGCCGGATACTAATATACAACGTGAACCGGGTCATGTGCCATTTGTGTTCATTGGTACCGTAGAAAGTATTGTTAATGCCAAAGTATTGCTGGACTATCATTTGGCGCACTTGAAGGTGGGTCACATGCACAAAATTTGAAATTTGAATTCGTGGAATATAATTTTTGTATATCTTATTGGTTTTTTGTAGGAAGTTGAACAATTACGCCTAGCCAAATTAGAAATTGATCAACAACTACGAGCCATCCAAGAATCTTCTGTGGGTTCTGTGCAAAATTTCCCCTCATCTCGTCGCTCGGAACGTGGTTATAGCAGTGATATTGAATCAGTTCGTTCCAGTCGGGGTGGTCCGCGTGGACGTGGACGAGGCCGCAGTGGTGGCGGTAATGGTGGTGGCAATCAACGTTACAATCAGGGTATGTAGCACGGAGTGCAAATAAATATAGGATATATATAAAAGGTTTTCATTGTTTAATTGCAGGTCGTCGTGGTGGCGGTGGAGATGACGATGATTACAACTCTCGTGGCGATAACCGTTATAATGATCGCAACAGCGGAGGTGGTGGTGGTTATCGTGGAGGTGATCGCCGAGGCGGCCAGAGACGCAACAATCGTAGTAATGAACAAAACGGCAGAGATCACCAGTACTATAATCAAAACAGTGAAAATGTACAGGAAGTTCGCGAACAGAGTAGCGTTGAAAGAGGTATGTAATTTAAGGTTTATTATAATGATAAAAAAATAGTTGTTAATTGATCAAACGGTGGAAGTCGATTATACAAAGTCAATTCGATGACAGCGGATTCTACGGCACAGTAAATCTCTATCAATCCGATAAATCTCTATTAATATACCAAATTGACTCTGTCACCCGAAAAAATAGATAGACACCCCGGATATTTTTCTGTAGTGTTTGTCAGAACCGATTCCACAAAAGATCCATATCAGTGTGGAGTAATGAATTTATGGAATGATGTGTTGGCATCTACCAGTGTGTCTCAGTCGTCGTCGGAATATAATACATTCAACAAAAATTCTGATAATGTCTCAATTCTCCAATTAAACTGCGATGGACTTCGAGAGAAGATCAATGAGATTGTTGTTGTTGTAGAAGCCCTATTGCTTTTAGACAATGGGCTGAGGTGACAGACGTTGGCCGAGTATGACTCGGATAGTTTCGGATCGTAGACCCCTCTATCGTGGAAACGTCAATTAAATGAGATTGTCGATTTTATGAGTGACAGAAGTATATTGATCGCGTCGATCCGGGAAACGAAGCTGCAGTTTTTAATGTTGTGATGGATACAACGTTTTAAGAGAGGATTGTACGAGAGGTTGTGGAAGAGGTTGTGCAAGAGGAACAACTGGCTAAAACATCTAAAGTGTTGTAGCATCAGTACCGCTGTGAGTGAATTGTGGGCAACGGTTAAGTTGCTCTCGAACCCAGGGAGGATGATTGGACGTCTGTCTCGTTTAGCGCCGTAGAGATGACAAAGGTGCGCGATTTATTTTAATCTGCCGTTTTTAGAGCACCCCAAAGATGGCAGAGCAAATGGAGAAGCAAATACCCCAATTTACACTGGAGGATGTTACACGTGCCATAAGAAGCGCATGGTGCTTGATATGGATGGAATATTTGTGGTGATGTTAAAGCAGCTGGATTAGTCATGAGTAGAGTACTTAACCAAATTCCTCAATTTGTCGTTAGCCACCCCAATTGTTTCCGCTTGCTTGAAAAATAGACCGAGTGGTACTGCTACTGAAGCAAATATGAGGACTGAGGCAAGGACGATAACAAAGATGAGTCATATAGGCCGATCTCAATTTTGTCACCAATAGCTAAGACTCTTGAGGCATTGCTGATCATCAACACGGATTCCGAAAGCAGCACAGCACAACAACAGTTTTGCACTCCATTCCACACATAGGACTTAACCAGAACAGGCCGTGTAATAGGACAGTTAAGGTGACGCTGGACATTTTCTACCGTCAAGCTGTTCAAAGATGCAGAGTGAACAGCCCTCCAGTCAACTTTGAAACGTTGGATCGTAAATTATATGTGTGGACGCCAGTCGGACTTGGAATTCAGAAATAAGAAGTCGAATGTCCGTTGAATTAAACAGGAAGTTCCCAAAGAAGATGTCATATCTCCAGAACTGTATAACCTCTACCTTTTTGAAATACCACGCTCACCGGATGACGGAAAGATCGTTTGTACGATCATGCCGTCAGGACCAACAATTTAAGATTTACACGGAAAAATTTAGTTATTCTCGAGTTAGCAGTTCGGCCAACTTTTTCCGGGCGAGGAATATGGAAAAATTCGCCACTACACCCAACGGGAGGTCCGCCAACGGAAGACTGGAACATCGTTCTCCTCATGACTCTAATAAACATCATGGATATAGCTGATTTTTTTCCGGACGAGGAATATAGGAGTATGTGATACGAAATCAACGACCACACTGTTTACCACATGGACAGAGGATATGGGCCTACCTTTAAGTTCAGGAGCTGGAGCAAAGTTCTCATGTCGCAAGTCGGCAGCACTTCTGGAGCTGATAAAGAAACCTTGTTAACAATGTATAAATCGATATGCCAGTATGTAATGGAAAAAATGTCTCTTTAAGAATCCAATAGTCCTCGTGGACCACATCAACGGCCACACTATTTAACACGTGGACAACGGTGATGAGAGAGCTGTCGATGGGATCACAATTCCACCAATAATTACCACAATATTCTAGAGATCACATTGGATAGCCTTTACAAGGCGTCCTCGTATGCCACACCTATCTGCTATAAGATTAGGAGCATGAACAAGTTTCTTAAGTCGCTAGCCGGTAGCACTTGGAGAGCTGACAAAGAACCCTTGTCATTTACCCAGCGATAGGCCGCCAACGATAGTACAATGCAATATAAAAATATTCAATCCTGTTTGAATGCCGCCCTAAGGACTGCCGCCCTGGTGTTTCCTCATGACTCCAATAGACCACTTACATAAAGAGACGAATATCCTTCCTGTGTGTGCGTCAATACAGCATGTTGTCGATGAAATATCTGCTTGGGTGCTATCACCTTATTGATAGGCACCCATAACCAAGGCAAGTCAGAAAGATTTTCATGATCTGGAGAGAGATGTCCATAGGCACATCAGGTTTATAAAGCAAGTTGAGGAAGCAATTCAAGAATGCAGAGTCCAGAGGCACAACAGTCCTATCAAACAGGTTGAGGAAGCAATTCAAATCTTCGGAGCTACTACCACGACAAACCAGAGTGATCGTGTCAGTACCCAAGGTCTGGATGGTGTAGCCGTCTCAATCATTAGTAGGAGAAGAATTAACTACAATTATGTTGAGAATACACTATTCTACGAATGAAGGAATTATTGAAAATGATATTGAAAAATTTGTAGGGTACGGAACCTTTGAAAGCTAGGCCTTGGACTTTTCATTCGACCTGTTATTTAACCATGTTATAAATATTAAATAATTTTTTTTTAAATTGTTGTTGTTGAAATATCCAATATTAATTTCCTCTATATCTATTTTAGCCGAAAGTAATTCATCATTCGAGGGAAGTTCACGAAGACGCCGAAGACAAAAGAGCAACGTACCCCATAACAGTGAGTATGATGTCATTAACATCAGTAGCAGTCTTATTGGAATACATTTTCTATATTCAAATAAATAAAAAATTGAAATTTTTTTCTTTCAGCGAACTCTGGCATGTCAAACAACAAATCCCAACAAAATAGTAAACCACCACAACATAATGCTGATAAAAATAATGCAGGTGGTGGTGGCGGCGGCGGTAGCGGAGCTGGTGGAAATGTTGCCGACAGATCAAAACAGAATGCCTACAACAATAATAGCAGCAGCAACAACAATAAGGATACTAATAATGTGGCATTAAACAAGGGCGGTGATCCGCAAGCGGTATCTGGTGGTAGCGGTGGTGGTGGCGGTTATAATAATGCAACGCAACAGCAACCACCTATGCAGCAGCAGCAACAACAGCAGCCACAGCAACAACAACAGCCACAAAATCAACCGCCAAAAGCAAGACGTAATAAAAATCGCCAACAACAAAATCATGCAAACGATCATCCAAAATCGCAACAACAATCACAGCCACCACCACAGCAACAACAACAACACACACAGGCTAAGAAGGAAACTCTAGTGAATGGAACTTCCTAATTTACCGTGCATTGGTAAAAAATAGAGTATCATTAAACACACCACACCCTCAAACACACAACAACAACAGCCATGTGTTGGCCTCCCTCAATTTGTTTTTTTTTTTTCACTTTAGACCACTATTTTCAAATATGCTAACGAAGTTTTTTTGTCATGATTTTTAATTTCGAAATGAAAGATCCTTACCATGTACCCACAGAATTATTCAAAAGGATCACAAAATTGTTATTTACTTTTAAACGCTCTTTTTCTTTATTAATTTACAATTTCTCACTTTCTTCTTAACTCACCACTCACCCACACACACACATAAAAATATATATTTTTTCATTCGAACTCGAGGTTTTGCAAACAATTATTTTTTATTTTGTTTTCAAAAACCAAACAAATAATTAAAAAAAGAAAACAACAATATTCAGAGAACATAATAATATAATTAGAAATGAAGAAGAAGAATTTTATAAAAAAATACAAACAAAACAAAAAAGAAAATAAAACACATTATATTATATAATACAAATGCAAAATATAATTTTATGAAACATTAAAATAAAATAAAACAAACAAAAAAATCTTATATAATAATGGTACATATTATAAAATAATAAAAAAATAAACCTCCCCAAAAAACAAACAACAAACTATATATGTAACTTATAATAAAAACAACAACAAAAACAAGAAAATTTAAATAAAACATTAAATAACAAAACAACAACAACAAACATACAAGTAATTATATTTATAAAAACAACAAATTTAATTTAATAATTACAAACAAAATAATAATAAAAAATAAAACAAACCGAAAAAATAAATTGCAACTGAAATAAGAAAACAAATATTATTATATTAATTTAATTGATTACAAAACAAACCGAAATTTTACTAGAAATACAAATTAATAACAAACAAAACAAAAACAACAGCACTTAATTTGATAACAAAACAAGAATTAAAATAAAATATTAAATTAAACAAAAGAGAAAAAAAACAGAACAATGTTAACTAACAACATTACTAATTTTTAAGTTTTATGTAAAAAAATATATATAAACTTTCATCTTTTTTATTTTTATTTTCATTTTTATTTTTTAATTTTTTCATTTTCAAAAAGGAAAGCATGAAATAAAACAAAAACAAAATTCCTTAAAGGATTTTTCTAATTAAACAAAAAAAAACGAAAAACGAAACTCAACATTTGTTGTTGTATTATTTGTGTGTATGTAAAGAACAACGACGGTAGGTGGATATTTTTTTCCTTGTTAACTCCTCTCCCTCTTAGCTCACGTCCTACTAGGTGGATATTTATAAGATATTACTGTCTAGGGTCCCGAAATACATATAGTAGTCATCGTATTCGAACTTGCATTTAGAGCTAGTGCGTGCATCTTCTCCATATTCAGCCAATTTAATGTTTTGAAGCGCCTAAAAATATGCTTTAAAATTCAATATCTACCCTTTAATTTAATATACGATTGGCAACACTGGCAAAGACATGCGAATAGCGCCATCTATTGATACGCATGACCCTAAATCCCACTGTCAAAATTTAAAAGTCCCAAATCTCTCATATCGTTAAATAATAAAAATCGACATTTCTCTACAATTAAGCCAGATATCGTTCCGATTTCAATGGCATCGTGTAGAGAACTTCTAAAGCCTTTGGTTTTCAAAAAAATTCTACAATTTTATTTTGATTTTAACCTGAAAATGGATGTTGATTGTAACCTTAATTTGACATCGTGTTAATATATATTTATATGCTGTTTTTATGCATAATAGGGGTCGAAATCATTTTTACAGGATGTATTTAATTCAAATACAATTTGTCTCTATTTTATTTTAATATATATAGCTCCTATATATATTTCGTCCGATTTCTTGGAAATTGTGCAGCAAAGACTCAACTGAATGTTCGCATGCAACAAAATTTGGCACAGGGTACCGAATGAAGTCTCTAGAATGATATATGTAAAATTTTATCGAAATCGGTTCAGATTTAGATATAGCTCCCATATATATTTTCGTCCGATTTCTTGGAAATTGTGCAGCAAAGACTCAACTGAACGTTCGCATACAACAAAATTTGGCGCAGGTACCGAATGAAGTCTCTAGAATGATATATGTAAAATTTTATCGAAATCGGTTCAGATTTAGATATAGCTCCATATATATTTTCGTCCGATTTCTTGCAAATTGTGCACCAAAGACGTAATGTTTTTCCGATTGTGATGAAATTTTGCACAGCGTACCGAAGTAAGTACAGAATTACGTGTATTTAGTTTTGTCGAAATCGGTTCAGATTTTCATAAAGCTCCCATATATATTTTCATCCAATTTCCGGCAAATTGTGCACCAAAGTCGTCATGTTTTTCCGATTGCGATGAAATTTGACACAGCGTACCGAAGTAAGTCCAGAATTACGTGTATTTAGTTTTATCGAAATCGGTTCTGATTTTCATATATCTTCCATATATATTTTTGGTCCGATTTAATCTGCTCAATGTACCCAATGTTTGTTCGATTGCGACGAAATTGTGCGCAGCGTACCGAATTAAACACCCAATTATGTGTATTAAATTTAGTCGAGATCGTTTCAGATTTGGATATAGCTACCATATATATTTTCGTCCGATTTTTTTTTTTTGGAAATTGTACCCTAAAGATTGTCCGATTGAGAAGAAGTATAACGTAGTAAGTCTATAATGATGTGTATTTAATTTTGTCGAAATCGGTTCATATTTAGATATAGCTCCGATATATATTTTCGTCCGATTTCCGACAAATTGTTCATCAAAGGCGCAATGATTATTCGATTATGACGAAATTTTGCACAACGTACCGGATTAAACACCCAATGATGTGTATTAAGTTTAGTCGAGATCGTTTTTAGATTTGGATATAGCTACCATATATATTTTCGTCCGATTTCATATAAGTCAAAGATAGATTGTTCAATTGCTACGAAATTTTGCACAGCGTTCTGAATGAAATACCCAATGATGTGTATTAAATTTAGACGAGATCAGTTCAGATTTGGATATAGCTCCCATATATATATTTTCGTCCGATTTCCTGCAAATACTGCCACAAACTCCTAAAATTTGTCGGATTGAGTCGACATTTCGCACAACGTACCGAATAAAGTCTAGAATGACGTATAACATTTTTTGTAGGAATCGGTTCAGATTTAGATATAGCTCCCATATGTGTCCGATTCCAATAGGTTTCGTGAGAGGGCAACATAAATGACAAATGTTATCCTATTCTCATTATAAATGCGATCTGCACATGCATAAGTTCGCTCAAAAAGTGATTCTATAAATTCCCTCAAAAAGTAGCCGTGGGTCAAAAATCTTGATACCTAGTCTTATTTAATATTATAAATCATCAAATATATTTTCATTTCTATCCGGCAAAATTGAATTCGCACTCTTTTAGGTACAAATACACCATATAAAAATAGGTTTCATCCGGTCTTCAATTAAGGCTACAATAACCAGTAATTTTTTTGTTAAATTCAAAATAAAATGGTATTATTTTTGTTTCTAAATCAAAGTTTCAGAAGTTCTCTACACGATGCCATTTAAATCGGATTGAAATTTGCATTAAATATTATGAAAAATTCGATTTTTATTATTTAAAGACATGTGAGTTTTGAGACTTTTCAATTTTGACAGTGCGATTTGGGGTCATGCGTATCAATAGATGGCGCTATTCGCATGTGTTTGCCAGTGTTGCCAACCGTACACTGTATTAAGAGGTTAATTTAGAAATGTTGAATTCTAAAGCATGCTTTTAGGCGCTGCAAAGCAAAAAAGCAATGTGAAAATTATTTCGTCCATGGATATTATTTTACGGAACTACTCGCTGTTTATAATAGATGTTTAATTTTTTTAACATCTGTTGACATTTGCAGCGCTCTTATAATGGGTCTTTGGTGTGTCATTAAGTGATTTTTAAAATCGGAAAGAAAATCAAAAATCACTTCATGAAGCCAACAGCCTATTTTAAGAGCTCTGCAACAGATGTTAAAGACTTGAACATCTATTATATTCCGGAAGTTCGGTACATAGTTTATTGTGATTGACTGACTGACTGATTTAACGATTCATCAACGCCCAGACGAAACGGCTGAAGCTAGAAATTTTGGGTGAGGGTCACTCTTGGTCCAAAGGTGACAGATAAGGCTGGGTTTTTGGAAATTCGTACTAGAACGGTACAAAAAGTATGGTATCATTTGTATTTGGCGAACTGATGGAGTGTAGGATGTAGGACAGGCGTAGCAAAGGGTTTTTGGAAATTCGAACTATAACTATCCGAAAAGTACTAAAATGTACTTAATTTGGTACAATTCTGTAGCATTTGAACGGATAGCGCTAAAAACATGAAATTTGGAGTGTGAATTTTGGTTGAAAAGTAGGGTCCATTTAAGGAGATTTTTTTGAGAGCGTGTGCTCATGTTTACGAAAAGTACTATATTTAGTACAAATTTAATTTGGAGATACAAATCGAGCTGGAATTCTGGAATTTGGAATTAAAAGTACCGTCGGAGTGTAGGATTGGGATATGAACGTAGTTTTAGAAATTTGTTACTTGTGTGTACGAAAAGTACTAAATCGTACAATAATCGGTACTGTTTGGATTTCGGTGAACCGATAGAGCGCGGGAACAATAAAATTTGAAGTTAGGATCACTGTAGGGGTGTGGGATTGGGGTCAGGATTCAGTTTAAGAAAATAATACTTATGTGTACTAAACGGTACTAAATTTGGTACAATTTGAATTTTAGTAGAACCAATTGAGCTAGAATCATAATCAGGATCACTGTTGTGTTGTGTAAGATTGAGATAAGTAGGAATTTTTGGAAATTAGTACTTCTGTGTACTAAATTTGGTACAATTTGAATTGTGGATGAACCGATAGAGTTGGAATCTTGAAACTTGGATTTAGGAAGGATAAGTGTGGAGAGTATGATTGGGGTATTTAGAATGTTTTGAAAATTGGTACTAC